TGCCAGCTTGGTCAATGCATGTCATAATTGAGCATTAACACAGATTATAAATTATATTCATAATCATGCTATTTCTGTGTGCATGCAGGTGGTGCTTTAATCTTTGATGAAGCTGATTTAGAACTGAAAGCTGAAAATATCCTAATAACTGATGGTGGTCTTCTACAAGTTGGAACTGAAGAAGAACCATTCCAGCATAAAGCCATAATAACCATGTATGGTAATGTTAGATCACCTCAGATGCCGCTATATGGTGCTAAAACTCTGGCTGTCAGAAATGGAACACTGGATCTTCATGGTATATTTTTTTTAATTCCCCTTGTTGAATGTAAATTCCTTCTTGTTTTTCTGATTTGAAACCTAATTGGCCCAATGTTGTAAACATTGTTTTGGGGTACAAATTTTCTTAATTAAATTATTGACTGCAGCTATTCTTCCACATTATAGGCATTCCCATTCCCGTGACCTGGACTTACTTGGCTGAAACGGCTCCAGCTGGAGCAACTCAGATAACATTGATGCAAGAGGTTACTTGGCAGGTTGGTGATGAAATTGTTATCGCTACGACGAGTCACAGGCATAGCATGATTGAAAATGAGCAGCTGACCATTACAGGTGAAGTCTACTCCCACCATTATTTGAACAATAATAATTATGAACTCCCTCCCAACACATAATAGTCAAAAGCACACTTTATGTGACATATTTTGAAGCACAAATTTATTTATTTATTTGTTTGTTTGTTTGTTTGTTTGTTTGTTTATTTATGTTTATTTAATTTCAGCTGTATCCAATGATGGTCTGACTATAGAATTCCAGCCTGCATTAGAATATGAACACATCTCAATGGAAGAGACAATAGATGGTGTAGTTTTAACAACTAGAGCAGAAGTAGGTTTACTAACACGCAATGTACTTGTTAGAGGTTCTGCGCACGCTGAATGGAATACTGTTATTGAAACTTGTCCTGAAGAGTTTGATACAGGTATGTACTATCATTATGTACTTTATACTGTTAGGAAATATTTCTAGTGGGTATTAAATATGTTTACCCCATATATTTTATTTTACAAGGAGGCAAACGTTCGGTCTCCGTCCGTGTGTCCGTCCGGAGTCATATCTCAGAATCCCTTGGGCCGATTCCGTTCATTCTTTGCATGTGCCTAGTACTTTATGTGGGACATATGCACATGCAGTGGTTTAGCGATTCGATTCAAAATGGCCGACTGGCAGCCATCACTCTTTTAAAAACACTCAAAACATTTGCCAATGAAAAAGGCTGTGGTTAGAATGACTGCAGCCAGAATGAGGTAGAATTACCCAGTAATACAAATGTTCTTTGAAGTTAATTATGAACAGAAAGTGCAACACTAGTTCAACTGAAATCGATGACTGAGCAGAGAAATAAAGAATGGTTTCTATTTTTTATTTAGATCAATTTGCCACTCAGACATGTTTCCAAGGTAGGTTTGGTGAAGAGACTGGCAGTGACCAATTCGGCTCTCAGATAATGTTTGCTGCTAAGGAACAGGATTTAAACTTGGTTACTGGAAGAATTGAATACATTGAAGTAACACATGCTGGTCAGGCTTTTCGCCTTGCTCGTTACCCGATTCATTTCCACATGAATGGTGATGTGTCTGGTTCCTATGTTCGTGGATGTGGTATTCATCACACATTCAATCGTGCTGTGACCATACATGGTGTCCACAATCTGTTAGTTGAACACAACGTAGCATTTGATATTATGGGTCATGCTTATTTCATGGAGGATGGCATAGAAACTAACAATATTATACAATACAACTTGGGTATCTTTGTAAAGGCGAGTGCTAGTTTACTCAGTGTTGACATTACACCGGCAGTTTTCTGGATTACCAATCCGGATAATATTGTTCGACACAACGCCGCAGCTGGGAGTACACATTTTGGTTTTTGGTATAACATGCCTGTGCATCCTGGTGGACCATCTTTTACTTCCACAATATGCCCAAGGAATATCCCTGTAGCAGAGTTTCAGAACAACACAGCTCATTCCCTAGGGTGGTATGGACTATGGGTGTTCCCAATATACACACCGATGGAAGGCGGTACATGCAGTTCAAATATACCAACAGCTAGTCACTTTTATGACCTGACATCATGGAACAATGAACGAGGAGCAGAAGTTGTTGAATCTGGTCCTGTGCAGCTGCATGAATTTGTAGTATTTAATAATGACAAGGCTGGAATTGAAATGGTTGATTTGAGCGGTGGATATGTTGATGGTCCTATGGTGAAAGATTCAGTTGTCATTGGTCATAGCAGCATTATCAATGCATCAGCATCATGTACTATTGCGGGGATAAAAACACCCAAGTCAGCTTTTTTGACTGTCGATGGTGTTAAATTTATCAATTTTGATGAGGACCGTTGTGCAGCTCTGAGAGCCTGTGCACATTGCAAAAACCGACAAGGAGGATGGAAAACTAAATTTCAGAATTTAGAATTTTTCAATTCACCAAACAAAGTTGGTTTTCAGTGGGAGCATGAAGCTGTATATGTTGATTTGGATGGTTCACTGACTGGCAGTGCTAATTATATCGTAACTCCTAACAATGGTCTTCTTCCATCCGATCACTGTGATGCCACTGATCTAGCATTCAACGTGGGTACATCTCCAGGAGTTGTGTGTGATAACACAGTAAAATTACATCGTTTCTCATTCAACCATGCTGCTTCCTCTTTGCAATACAAAGATGTCATCTTCACTCTCGATAACAGCTTAGGCTCAAGTATCGTCCCATATGAACAGATGCGTCTCACTCACTCAGAAGGTTGGATGATTACTTTGGTAGATGGAAAGAATTACAACATGGTATGGGAAGATGCTGAACAACTCACAAATATCTCATACGTCGGCACTCTCTATAATATGGAACCTACTGATTATGTTACTATAAGTCACTCTGTTGCACAAACTCCTGACCGCTTCTCTATTCTTGGTCATATGGCTGACACTACTGAAGAAATGGTGACCTATGATGATAATGACAATGGTGACTTCTACTTTGATAATGCTACTCATTCTGTGTCATATCTGTGTAAGTATAGAATATATAGGATTTTATTGGTGTACATACTTTCTAAATTACAACCACATAGCTGATGCTTGAATAGCCTGTATTAATAATTATACAAACTTCTTTCAATCTTTCCTAGTAGTTGCACCCTCTATCATCAACACACTTTTGTGATGTAAATTGTTGATAAGGCCATTCGCAGCATCAGTAGCTGTTCATCTATGAAAATTGATATGTTTTTGAAATTTCTGATTCTTTGGTGCTACTTTTATAGGAAAGGTATATAATCTGAACTGGCACTAAACTATATTTTCGTCTCACCAGTTCTGGTTTTGATTGACTGTGATATAACAAATCAATCAATTACAACCAACGCTTCTTAGAAAAGTACATGAGCATTTTCATTTACGTACATAATGAACGGTGAATATTTCCAATCAAATACATTTGTATTATATAAAATAAACATCACACAGGATGCATATCAGCTTTTGTGATTTGATTTGATTAGGCCGACTGGTGTTCATGTTGGTTAACCATTTCATGTATGGCTTTCAAACTGATATGAAGAAAAGGCGTAATTTTGTGTGCTCAAATGTTAAGTCAGCCTAATAAATGTCCTTAACAAGGATTTGTTCCATGTTGCAGCTTTGTGATATGGTGGGTGACACTTTGTCAGTCAGCACAAATCAATCAATATTGTTCCCAATGGTGCAGCTCGTGTGTTGCATTATGTTGAATGACCTCATACTTTGCTATATCAAACATAGCCATGTATAACAATAACTTTTGTGATGTTAAGGGTAAAAACTCTCTTTGATAAAAATATAAATTTTGTACTTGTAAACAAGACAATGATTGCATGTGCATGGTAATCATTGTTTCACATGCCTATCACCTCTGATTCAGTGTTAAAATTATTTATTTTTCAGTATCTGGGAAAGGAGAGTCTGAAGAAGTAAACCGTGATGTTACCTTCAATGTGTATCGTTGTCTGTACCCAGACTGTATTACACCAGTACCCCTGCCACCACCTGCTGCACGCCCTGCCAATGCAATCTTGTGGTCTGACGTTGCTTCCTGGGCTGGTGTGGAAGATGGATGGGGTGGAAGTAATGGTGTATTACCAGCTGATGGTGATGATGTCATGATCTTACAAGGTTAGCACATCTAATAATTATCGTTATCATCATTATTATCATTCTCACTAACAATTAGTCTCATTAATTATTTATTTAATAACCTTTCTTGCCAGTTTCACTTTCTTGAATGGTGTGGTAGTTTGTTACTTCCAACAGCTCGACAATGTATTCTTGTCTAAAATTGAGTGCTCCATTCTGTGAACTTTTTTGGTGGGGGCTTGATCATAGAATTCGACCTATCTGATAAACAGTTCAAAATTCCCCTCATTACATACAAATCACCTCCCTATCTGTCTGATCTTAACATATATATTAACCAACACATAATGTGTGCTCGAAATAACATTACTTCTCCAAGTCAGCAAGAACACATCCTATGGAAATCATGCCTTTGCAAATGCTGCCTCAAAATTATGGAATAAACTTCCACTTGAAATTAAGCAATGCAACTCTCTAAAGTTGTTTTGTCAGCCAAACGTAGTTGAAAAACCCCTTTCTTAATTTTTTATAACTTACACTTTGCACCATTTCTTGACTAAGTTATTATTTTTTTCACTAAAATTATCGCTGTTTGAATTCTGCTTCGTGAGTGTGCAAAAAGCAACTAATCAAGCAAGTACGTAAGGTTTAATGTTTGCTTGGATGCTGAGTAAAATAGTCATTCTATAAATTCAAAAGAGAGGGACCTCGTGGTTAACAAGAGTCTTGTGTGCATCTCAGACCAATCTTATTGGAAAACGCTTCACATTGAATATGGATTTTGAAATGTAATTCATCTTTGATTGTCAAACAGAAAATCCTGCGTGTGATTTTGGTGGCACTCTAAGATGGTGACAACTCAATCACAACCAAAGCTACGTAACTGCTGAATGATAGTCCGCTATTGGCAAAGCGAATATCTTGTGAATGCCATAACTGTTGCATTTATTACAGTACACATAGTACTTTATATATCAATAGCTTGAAACCAAATTTCACTGACCATATCTATTGTTTTAGAAATGCATACATTTTTAGAAGGTTTAAAAATTATTTTTAGTATATTTTTGAACAATATTTTAACATGTTATTCAAATACTGTTGTAAATTGCAGAAAAAGGAATGGTTTTGATCTCCTAACAGTTAAATATGCATAATTTCTGTATAAGAGTTTTTAACTAACACTGATTAAAGAAATTTTGATTACCTTTGATCCATTACATACATGGTAGTCAGTGGAGGCATGAGGTTATTCATATAGTGGGAATCCTTACTACCAATTTTTGTTAGTGTGATGTCCATTTTCAAAATTATTGAAATCTGGGTATCACATGCTGGAGAACTCAATAAATGGTACCCTCTATTCGATAACTTCTTTGAGCATTAATTTTTCATGTTTGTGTAACTATCTGGTAATATGATTTCCAATTTCTCAGATACTTGGATTGTTGCTGATGTAAAACTGCCCTATATGAATAAGCTGTTCATCTATGGTACCTTAGAGATTGACGACACTATGAACAACATGATAAACGCTACTTACGTTTTCATCCGCGGTGGACGTTTAGTTGTTGGTTGGGAAGATGCACCATTCAAGCATAATTTCAGATTTCTCTTACAAGGAAACCACTGGACTCCAGAAATGCTTTTGCCCAATGGACCCAATTTGGGATCCAAAGTTATAGGTAATGTTTTAAGGCAATTGGAACTAAAGTTTTGCATCTACTGAGCATGTGACAATGCATTGTGCGAAAGCAATTCATGTTTTACATATTAATGGAGTCAAACCATGAAGGACATTGGAAGAATAATAGAACTTTTATTTTTTTACACAACCTGCAAAACTAGTAACAATTTGTTAGGCCTATCTTGCCAGACTTTGTTACAACATTTATTGTAACAATTGCTGCATAATGTAAGTGTTTACATAAATCCATTCCTTTATCAATTTACAGGTGTCTTTGGTGACTTAGATCTTCATGGAAAAGAACCTAATATCTACTGGACTCATTTAGCTGCTACTGCTAATGTTGGTGATGATATAATAACAATGGAAGATGCAGTGAACTGGAAAGTTGGAGATGAAATTGTTATTGCACCAACAGACTATGAGCCTTTCCATACGGAGATATTCACTGTCTTGAACGTCATTGATAATTATACGCTACAACTTGATAACAGTTTGCAGTACACACATCTTGGTAAGTGCACATAGATTTCATTGATAACTCTACACTACAACTTGATAACAGTTTGCAGTACACACATCTCAGTGAGTGCAAACAGATTTCATTGATAACTCTACACTACAACTAGATACCTGTTTACAGTACACACATCTCAGTGATTGTACACAGATTTCATTGATAACTCTACACTATAACTAGATAACAGTTTGCAGTACACACATCTTGGTAAGTGCACATAGATTTCATTGTTAACTCTACACTACAACTAGATAACAGTTTGCAGTACACACATCTTGGTGTGTGCACACAGATTTCATTGATAACTCTACACTACAACTAGATAACAGTTTGCAGTACTAACATCTC